GGCCATGGCTCACGGGCCCAGCTGCTCTGCGACATGTGGGATCTTCCCGGACCGGGGCACGAACCCACGTCCCCTGCATCGGCAGGTGGACTCTCAACCACTGTGCCAACAGGGAAGTCCCTTACTCAGAATTTCAAGGTTAAATTCATGTTGTAGCTTGTGCCACAACCTCATTCCTTTTTATGGCTGAATAATATTCCTTTGTGTGGATGGACCACCTGTTAGTTATCTGTTCATCTGTCAGTGGATACTTGGGTTATTTCCATTTTTTCACTATTGTGAATAATGCTGCTAATGAACATTGGGTGCACGTATCTGTTTGAATCCCTGTTTTCATTTCTTTTAGGTGTATGCCTAGGAGTGGAATTGCTGGGTTACGCGGTAATTCTGTATTTAACTTTTTGAGGGTTTATCGCTTTTTGTATGTAAAGGTTAGAAACTTCCAGCTCTGAAGTCGGGTTATATGTGAATGGAGAAAGGTACTGTCATTGAAAAACCACCAAGACTGGTTTTTTTTCTTTTTTTTGTTACAAAGATCTAAGACCCCATTGTGCTTGTAAGGATAGTTACAGAGAGCCTGCATGGTTTCTGCGGCTGTGTGCATGCAGGTGACCTTTTGGAGGAATTGCATTAGGCGGGAGGAGTCCACAGGGCTGAAGGCACACATATGGCTCCACCGTGAACATCTGCAGGCAGTGCTGGGCTCCCGGCCTGTGTGGTTGCAGGAGACCGGACAGTTGTTTACCGTCTCTGGTTCCTCTTCTTGTCACTTAAGATGGTGGCGGACAGTTTTGGGTGAGCTATAAAACAGTGTCCTCAGAATCTTTGGGCCCCGGAAGGTTTATGTTCTTGTGTGTAAGGCACAAGGCGAGAGCTTGTGTCTAGGGCATGAGGCTTTGGGTCCCAGTCCTGGAGGCTTCTGAGGCCTGGCTCTGCTTCCCACAGGGTATGGACTTGCTGGAAAGCAGGGGTACCCTGTTTTTGGTCTTTGTCAAAGCATATTGGTATATAAAAAAGGAGAGCCCAGGCATGCCAGTGAAGGCTGCACAGGTATGCATCGGTTTCTGGTCGTGACAGTGCACGCATTGGATTAGTGGTGTCTGTCTGCGGGCACACCTCGGATGGGTGGCAGGGGCTCGTGGGCCATCCTGGATGATTTAGGGGCTGTTTGTAACAGCGGCCTCCTATTTACCCTAAAAGAATATGACAAGCTCTGCATCCCTCCTGTGAGTTGATATCAGTTTTGTATAAATTTAACTTGCTGCAAGGCAGGTTATTTGCCATACTGAATAGTGTCATTTTAAAACAAAGCTATTGTATCACTGTTTTAAGTATGTCTGGTGGAATCCAGTCATCATGGTACCTTGGAATCCACCATCCTCCATCTAAAATGCAGGGATTTTATTCTTTATCTCCTTGAACCTGTATTTCCATTTACTTTTCCTAGAGAATTTTTCCTTAATGTGACAGGTTTCTGTGCTTGAGAATCTTTTGCTGATCTCCCTGTCAAGTATCTTCAGCAAGAGGATGTCTGTGAATGCAAACTTTAACTCTTACATTTTGTTTTGCCAAAAGGTAGTAAGCATTTAAGTTTTCTAGATTGAGTTTTTACAGGATTAGTTATTAGTACAAACTTGATCAAAATAACCGAAAATAACATTTTATTGGAATGCAACTTAACAAGATGGGTTTTTAGTTCAGGCTATCTTCTGGTGAGTAGTGCTTATATCTAGAACAAGGCAAGGTTCCAGATCAACTTTTTATTTAAAAATTTTTAATTTTTAGCTCTGAAAACTGAGAGACCTTGTATGTGCACGTCACTGGGAACGGCAGGCGTTAGCTTTAGCAGTGCTTTTTCGTTGAATGCTCATTGGATGGCTCTATTGGGACCACCTCTATTTTGGTCAAAGTGTGAGTTGAAACTGCCCATCTTGTGGAGAGAGGGTTCACCCAGTCAGCTCAGCTCGGCGCCACTGTTTCCAGGCCCTTTCTTGAGCCCCTGCCCCGCTCCCAGGCAGTGCATTGCTGAGAAACACCCTCTGAACAGTGGGGAAGGGCCCTTGTGAAGCCAGGCCCTGTATGCTTGGTCTCCAGAGGTGCCCCCGGATGCCTGCACTCCCCCGGGCTCGATGACTACCGGTGGACAGCAGACACATGCACACGTGCACACGCCCTCACATGCACACACAGATGTACCCTCGTCCTCAGTTTTAATTGCTGCCTCAGCTCTTTTCTCTTTTTCATTGAGTTTATTTATTGTGGCAAAATATTGTATAACACAGAGTTTATGCTTGTCTTCTTTTTATGTATCCTTAAAGTTCACCTATGAGTTTACTGGAAAATTAGCAACATATACATCATTTTAGGAAGTGGAAAACGAGTCTGAATGAGTTGTGAAGACAGAGCATGTTGAGAATAGCTTCCCCAGCAATGCATTCTCCCCAATGGAAATAAATTACTTGTATAAATAGCCTCTTGCTGTCTGTGTATTGTTCAGTCATAACAAATCACAGTGTTTTTACACACAGAACTTTCATGCTAGTACTGGAAACGTCTTTGCCTGGCATTTTCCCCCAGTAATTGTTATTTACTTCAAAACACACAGTAGATTTAATAGAAAAACAGTTAAAACAATTTGTTCTAGTGCTGAGATATTTATAAGAAAAATGTTTTAAAGAGATTTCCTCTAAGATGCTAACACCTAAAAGTTACCTTTTAGTCCTATGCATTTCATCAGGTCCTACAGTGTGAGTCATTCAAGTATTTTACAACCAGAAGTAGAAGCACCTTTTAGTGTTCATGCTTAGTATTTACAAAACTGAATTGAGTTGCAGGTTTAGTTTAATTTTTTTGTTGAGAAGAAGAAAACTGCGTTGTAAAAATGTACCAGATAAAAAAGCAAGGGCCAGATGGAGGTTTGCTGCTGTCTCGCCTGCACCGGAAGGCGTGCTTGTGGCTGCAGCCTGTGGCTGGCCAGAGGTGGCTCTAAGACACCCGCGTTCTTTTCCGGAGTGTGAACACTCTGGCTGTGTCGCTGGGCTTTGCCTTCTTGGTTCCCTGCTGGGCCTTCCCTGCATCCCTGGGGCTCGTCCTCTTTTGCCCTTTGGGTCTGAGGTCGCACTGAGCCTCCTGGCTCTCAGGGGCTCTGGGGGTGGGTGCGTCTACCTGGCAGGCAGGCTCCTGGGCAGCGGGCTCGACGTTCCCTGGGCTGTAGGCCGCCAGCTGGCAGAGGGCGACGGCCGCAGTCTGCTTCTGCTCGTCACTGTCAGCTGAGCGTGTGTCCTGGGCCTTCCCAGCCGGGCTGGGCACAGGGATCTCCACAGAGCTGGGGTCGGGCCCGGCCCCAGAACTTGCTGTCTCCAACTGCGGAGCAGGAGTTGGGGTGGGGGCAGCCGCGGGTTCGGCCCCTCTCGGGCGGCTGCGGACAGAGGGCCTCGAAGTCAGGGCGTTGCAGGGGTCCTTCACCGAGAGGTTGAGGGGCGCGTCCTGTGGCTCCACAAATTCTCCATAGGCAGTGGTGTGTATAGTGGCCGGCTCAGCTTCTGGTTTCGTGGAGAGGTTCAGAGGGGCTGCCCTGGAGTCGTCCTCTGGGCTGGAGGGTGCAGCTTCCAGGCTCCCCATCTGAGCCAGAGCATCTGCGTTCACGGCCTCGAGGCTGGAAGAGACACAGAGAGGGAGTCACAGGGACCTTGCTGAGGGCCATTGCCCGTGGGGGGTTTGGGCAAGTACCAGCTCCTCTGATTAAGCACAACCAGAGACATTACTTCGGAGGTTTTGAAAATGGACTCTCTTACCTTTCTGGAGATGCAGCTCTGTTTTCTGGGGCCTGGGAATGTGGGCGCTCCGTGTTCTTCTTGACAGGCTTGAAGGCTGTGAGGCTCTGTTCTGGTGGATGGAGACTTCCTGGGGCACCAGAGGCCGGCATGTCCAAGAGGCTGCACAGCCCGGCACAGGGCTGGCTTGTCTGCGTGAAATTGGTGGGGCTCGGCCTTCCCGGGGAGCCTGTGGCTGCGCTGCCTGCACGTGGGCTCATTTTGGTCCCTTCCGTGTCCCTCTGCCCATCTCTGGAAAGGTCTTTAGCCTCGGGAGTCAGACTCTCTTTCTCAAACTCTGTGTGTTTTTTGTGGGAGTTTAACTTGGATGGACTCCAGGCCGGGTAGGCCAGGGCAGCTTCTTCCAGTAGGTGTGAGCTTTGATCTTGTGAAATACCATCAACGGGTGGGGGTCTGAGGCCGTAGGAGGAAAATGCAGACTCTGGTCTATAAAATCCATAAGGAATCGGCAGATTGGAGTGATACTGCTGGAAGAATCTGTAATGGTCGTATGTGGATGGAGCTGGGTTCAGGTGCTTAGGGATCGGCCCTGGGTGAGGCAGGAAATGTCTTTGGTCTTGGGCCCCGTAGATGGACAGCAGGGGGCTGTCACACTCGGGCGAGTTCCCTGCGAGTAGGTACGGTGAGTAGATGGTGGCCAGTCCGTGCTCTGTGTAAAAGTGAGGCGGGTACTCTGCGATGGTGGGGTGCACGTACGGCGAAGTGGCACCAAACCCCTTTGTGGATGGGATTTTATGTGGAAACTCAGGTGTGAGGAAAGGTGAGCCAGCTTTCCACGCATAGCCAGGGGCATGAAAGGCAGACTTAGTGTGGAAGGAGGCAGCTTTGGCTGGGGGCTGGGTCAGGGTCAGCGCTTCAGGAGCCTCGGTGAGTTCCTGCCCTTTGAGTCTGTGCTCGCCAACTGGCATGAATGCTGAAGGCCGGGTAGTGCCTTCCAGCACAGGCTGGGTGCCCGCGGTGGCTTCTGGAGCTGGACTCAGGGGTGCTGCTTCCTTGTGGAGAGTGGGCTTCTGTCCGGGGCACCTGTGGGGCCCGCACGCATGCAGGTCCACATTTTCCTTGATGTCATCCTTGGCGAGGCCATGTTGGAGCTTGGTGTCCAGGTGTGAGAGCCCACTTGGGACGGGCTTGGAGGAGGTGGGCTTTGCCATGGGGTCGGACTGATTGGTTGGCTTAGGGTCTGAAGAGTTCGGTTTGGAACACTTGGGAATGCGATCTTGCTCGGACACTAAAGTGATGGAATTTTTACAGAGGCCGTATTTCATGTGATTAAAAAGATGTGACTTTTCGTTGCAAGTAAAGGGACACTGGAAACACTTGTACTTGAAGGGCTTTCCTGGGGGCCTGGGGATGTAATGTGGCTTTTTTGGTTTTCGCTCTTTGAGAAGGCTCATTTTCCCTCTGCGGTTTGGCGTCTGAGCCCTGCTGGCTCCTGCGTAGTTCAGCTTTGGTGATTTTTAAGGAAGCAGGTCACTGCTTCTCCTTCGCTTTCCTGTCTGAGTGCTTTTACTTGAAGCCGGCTCCACGGGCTGTGGGTGTGACCAGGGAAGTCTCGTTCATTTGGGGACTGGGAGCTGCAATGGAGGAGCAGAGCCTTAGTGTTGGAACGATGGCTAACAGGCTAACAAAGAACCCCGGGGTCACGGAGGAGGTGAAGCAGAGGCCTCTGCAGGTGCAGAGGACGTAAGTGCTCTTGCGCGGCAGGTACGGGACGGGCATCAGCCACCCCTCCTCACTACCCTGGGCGCCACCCCTACGGCGTTCTCTGTTTTCTCAAGTCTGGTCCCAGGCGAGTGTGGTAGCAGGAGTGTTTAGCGTCATTTCAGAGAATACCTGTAACTCTTTTGAGTTTTGGGAACCTTTAGCCTGTGATCTGAGGCCTCAGGTGCCAGGAAGGTTGTGGACCCACCAGGCTGAGTGATCACTGAGATCCCACCCCCATCCATGTGCCTGGAGTTTCTGGACTGAGTCCCATCACTGTGCTGGCCTGACTGCTCTAACGTGAACCTGAGGAGGTCCAGGCTCATGCGTGTGTGTGACGTTCACATTTGTGCTCACTGAGAACAAGGCACGTGTGATTGTAACCTTCAGTCCATCTGCCCTATTTAATCACAGTGTTCTGTTCTATGAGGGAGTATTTAAAAGTGAAGAATATTTAAAAATGCCCCCCCCACCCGACCCTGTTTCTAAATTCACAAATGAAAAGTCAGCTTTCTGGGTAAGTAGCATTTGTGTTGGCCCAAATACAAACTTAAGTGCTGTGTTTATGTTGATTTGAATGATATTAAGATGCTGTGAGTCAGTGAGTGAGCAGATGTCCTCGTGCACTGCTGCCTTCCACTTGCCCACCTCACAGATGGCATGGAGTGAGTTCACGCACTAGCCCATCCCTGCCTATCCTGGCCTTAACCAAAGGCAGAAAAGCTTAGCAGCCCTCCTGGTAAGAGGAGACCAGAGTGGGACTTCCCTGGTGATGCAGTGGTTAAGACTCCACGCTCCCAATGCAGGGGGTCTGGGTTCCATCCCCGGTCAGGGAACTAGATCCCACATGTATACTGCAAGTAAAAGTTTGCATGCCACAACTAAGGAGCCTGCGAGCTGCAACTAAGGAGCCTGCCTGCCGCAACTAAGACCCGGCACAACCAAATAAATAAATAAATGAAATTTTTTTTAAAAATAGAGGAAACCAGAGTGAGTGGTGCCTAATTTTACAGATGGTTGGATCCTGGGAGGAACCCATCCCAGCCTTTAACGTGTACGAAGGGGCTTCTGGATATCTTCCCCAGGGTCCTCCTGTCCTTGCCTATCCCCCAAGCCTAACCTCCCCCCGGGTTTCCTTCAGAGGCTGCTCTGCACACCCCTGCCTCATAACCCGAAGCTGAGAACAAAGACGTGAGGTCTGGGAGGATCTCAGCAGGGCCGGGCGCGGCTGCGTGTCCAGGACCAGCCCATGGGGTGACTGTGTCTTAGAGAAAGCCTGTGGGTGGGGCGGGCTGGGGGAGTGGGTGTGAGGAATCAAGGCCTGCACTTTAATTTGCATAGAAAATGTAAAAAGGATTTAGCTTCTGGATATTTTTAAACACTTAGAAAAATAAAGTTAAAAGGAAATAACTTTTCAACTGCAGTTTTGCTTTAAGGAATAAGTAAATATGGACAGTTCTGAGTCTCGTGAAATTGCTTGTGTAAAGCATCGCCTTCTAGACATCGGGTTGGTTAAAACATTGAGCTGGAAAGCAGCCCTTTAAAAATAGAGAAATACACATGGGAAATCTAAGAGACTTGTTTTCACAAAATAAAATGTAGCTACTCTCCTTGCCATCTCACGCATCAGATGAGGTAATGGGTAGCTTGTGGGAGGAGGGTGTAAGGGGGGAGGGAGTGCGGTTTTAATTTCACTTGGATATCTTAAATTCTAAAAAAGCTATCTGATCTTATTCTCAGCAAACTGGTTCCTCTACTCATTTTTTCATATTTCTTAAAAACACAAGGAACCACTCTCCCCCCAAGAAGCTGCTTCTATTAACCTGTTTCATCATCCCGTTCCCTCAAAGGCATGTTTCTTTACTAAGAGGTGCTTTGGGTGGCTTGCAGCCTTCTGTTGCGGGGAGAGTTTCTGCATAGCAGGGGTGCTCAGGCACGTACTTTGGAGGAGAAATGAGATTTTTGGCTACCCCCTAATTGGAGAGGGCGTCCCCAGGCCCTCTTTGGGGGTGCTAACTGGCAGGGTGTCGGGTGGACAGAAGCCAGGCTGGCGGCACCTGGTGCCTGGCTCTGCGGCTTTGCAGCTTGCTCGCCCTCCTCCTCTCCCGTGAGCAGTTGTGTGAGCTGCACGGCAATGTGAAAGCCCAGCACAGTTAAACACGTGGTCACAGCTTTGCATCTTCCTGATTTCCCCTCTTAGTAAGGGAGAATGTGAAATAATTCTGTATGAGTTCAGTTCATACCTTGTGGGGCAGGTATGCCCTGGGCTATAAAAGCACGATTTCCTGCCTCCCGTCAGGAAGCAATTCCAGCCAGCTCGGGGCCAGCCTGATAAGTCAGGGCGGCCTGTGCTGGCACGTCCCATTATGCTCCCTGGTTCTGAAGGCGTGAGAACCTCTGCAAGTCAGGTTCCCATGATTGTATAGGATATGTTATGGCAAAGATCTGAAAACTGATGATTTCATCACTAGCTGGAAGCATCGTGATCAAAATGATGACAGTTGCAAAACATTTATCAAGTGTGAGCGCAGAGTCCTGGTGGTACCATGAGTGGATGCAGACACACATCTGCCGCACCCAGGACACGCGAGCCCAAACCAGCCGAAAACCCCCTCGGATTTAAGATAATGATGGTGTTAGCTTCAGAAGCAGTATTATTTAATATTGCTCATACTTTTAGGCAAAAGTAGAAATAAACCCACTTTGGTTAAGTTTTCTCAAAGGTTTATAGGAGGCAAGTTGTATGTAAGTTATCATAGCATTACCCAAAATAATAGTTTGGGAAATCATTGCTCTTATGTTAATATATACCTTTTTTCCGTCAAATGATGTTGTGCCCACAGGTTTGGTCTGAACTTCTTGTTCTGTGGTCAGTTAGCTTACAAGGACAGTAAAGAGGTTTTCAGGGGATGGTTTCCTTGGTACTGCTGTTCTGGGAGGTGAGAGTATTCTAGGGCATAATTGTTGCAAGGAGAGCCTGGATGGAGTCACAGGAGCAGTAGTTTTAGTAACTGAGTAAACTGACCTCTCAGGGTTACACAATTCGCTAGTTAAAACAAGGGAGCGCAGCTGCTTCAGATGCTGAAGGAGACAGGCTAGTTCACTTGGTTATAAAAATGCCAATAATGGGCTTCCCTGGTGGCGCAGTGGTTGAGAGTCCGCCTGCCGATGCAGGGGGCACGGGTTCGTGCCCTGGTTCAGGAAGATCCCACGTGCCGCGGAGCGGCTGGGCCCATGAGCCATGGACGCTGAGCCTGCGCATCTGGAGACTGTGCTCCGCAATGGGAGAGGCCACAACAGTGAGAGGCCCGCGTACCGCAAAAAAAAAAAAAAAAAAAAGCAATAATGTCAGAGAAGTAATAAGCAGGATAAGATTGAGGCTTCTGTAAGCTTCCAAGGGGCACAGCCTCCAGGAGGTGATGTCAGTCTGTGAGTTCTGTCCTGCTCAGGCGAGGCTTACAAGGATGAGGAGCTAAAGCCTAGTGCCCGGGGCGCTGTCGCTCTAGCCACCTGCAGAGATGGGGTTTGCCCGTCTCTGGTCAGCTTATATCTGTCAGGCCTGGTGCAGGCTGGCAGTGGAAAAAGGGTGTTGTCGCCTAAACAATATAATCCAGAATTTAACTGTTTGTAGTAAGTTCGGATTAGCAGTCAGAGGTGAAGTTTTTTCTAAAGGTGATAAGATTCGTGTCTCACCATCCTTGTCCTGGGAAGGCTGGTACAGGCTGGGGGGTTGCACAGGGAGAGGTTAAAAAAGCACAGCCCTGGGTTCGGCTTTCCTCGGAGAACTGCACTGTTAGCACGTTAGCTAAAAATGCAGATGTTGGCCTAGTCCTAGAAGGATGTGTGTGGGACAGTGTTTTTCACCCTTCTTTCACTTCCCACTGGGTCAGCAGGAGGTGCTGGGAGCCCTGCATGTCAGGTCAGGGTCAGGGTGCTGTCCTCGAATGCAGGAGGGCGCCCCTGCCTGCCTTGCGAGCAGCTGTTGGCACGAGGCCTGCCCTCAGAGCTGTGCCCTCAGCGGAGTTGGGACCCAGTGCTGAGGGGAGAGGGTGGGGAGCAGCGCCACAGAGACACCACGGCGTCTGGCCTGAGCCTGTTCCATTTCAGAACGCCCTCCTGTGACTCCTCATGCACTGTCACCCCTGCCTGTGTCCCAGGAGCCTGTCACCCCTGCAGAAGCCCGGGAGCCGGTCTGGCCTCCCCTCCCACAGGCCTGGGCGGCTGGACGGTGGTGCCCAAATGGCGCTCTGAGCAGCCCGTGGTTTTGTGTCCACAGGGCTTTATCTGCTTGTTTCTGAAGCACTGAGGTGCCAGTGCATGTCTCTCAGTAGCCTCCTAAGTGTGGACTATGAATGTAGCTGCCAGCTGTTAGGGTGACAGTGAGTGGCTGGCATATTTAATAATTTTCTAGGGGGTTTGAAGTCAGAAATAATAGGCAAGAGAAAGATTTTTTTTGAACTTTGATAGGACACAATAGAGGTAATTATAGCTTAACTTTACAGGGCATGGCTGTGACGTGCCGGCCAGCTATGCATGTCATGTGCACTAACTTCTGCGCTGGAATAATCCTCAGCCCTCCCCGGTGGTGTCCAGCTGCCTGGCAGGGAGCCTCACCAGGTAGCGCGTTCTGAAGGGCATGCTATAATTACGATATTGTGATGTGGCATTATTGCATAACTCAGGGACACGCCGTTGTCACCTACCCACTGGGGTGTTGCAAGAACGAGATTTGTGAGTTTTACTCCAATTGAGCTTTTCCAGTGATTAACCACCACTCCCTCCCAGACTTTCGGTTCTTTAAAATGAAGGATAAACTTCAGGGCAACCGTAACCTAGGGAAAAAGACGGTTTTCTGGCATATAGTTTGGAAGAATGGATCCAGGAAGACCACCAGGGGCTCTTTCTGGTTTCAGCCAGAGATCCTGGGTTACAGACAGAGTGCTTAGCAGTGAATGCACAGCTTTAACGTTTGGGGCACCTCCCTAGGGCCAGAACCCCTAACCACCAGCCTGCCTCCTTACCTTAAAGCACCACGTTAAAGCATTGCAAGGACTTGGCTAATACAAAATACAAATCATGATAACAAATGTAGACAGGTTTTGATTGCATTAAGTCTGATGTTGGTCAAGTTTGACGAATAATTTGGTCAATAATGGTTTTCATGCAGATTTATGAGAAACTTTATAAGAGTAAGAAAACCCCTTTTGTATATACAGGGATCCTCTTTAGTTAAGGTGGTTTTTTTTTTTGGTAAGCTTATGTCAAAACAGCACTTATTTTAAATCCTAATAAAAGGTTTTTAAATTAAAGAAATTATAAATTAAGGTCAGCAATTATATATATGCATATATATGATCCTTTTATGTTGAAACCTGTAGTTTATTTTTGAGGTGAGGAACAGATAAGCAATAACATCAATTTGAGTTTTGGTTTAAAGTTTATGAATTTTGGAACTTCCCTGGTGGTCCAGTGGTTAAGACTTTGCCTTCCAATGCAGGGGGTACGGGTTTGATCCGTGGTTGGGGAGCTAAGATCCCACATGCCTCGTGGCCAAAAAACCAAAACATAAAACAGAAGCAGTATTGTAAGAAATTCAATAAGGACTTTTAAAATGGTCCACATCAAAAATAACTTAAAAAAATAGTTTATGAATTTTATGGTAGAAATGAGAACTTCATATATCCACATAAACTTGTTTACACTCTTAGAATAAAGTGTAAGCCTTATTAAAAGTTTTGTAACAATGGTCTCCTTTCCAGCAGTGCACCTGCTGGGTCCTGAGTAATCCGCGGAGAAAAGAGCAGGGCAGAGAAACTCTGGGCAGGTGATTCACTGAGTAGATAGTTTAAGATACATCTGAGAGGAGTATTGAAAGAAAACTCGCATTTGAGAAGAAATAGTAGGTACTTACCAGAGGCTGGGAGGTGGAAGCCGTGGCTGTGGCTGCCTGGCCGGAGCAGGACCTGTTCTCACGCTCGCTCTCACTGAAACTGGAGCCGGCTGTTCCAGTGGGAGGGATTTAATGTAGGAGTCGAGCCCTCGGGGCGTAGAGATGCACCTGATATTCCTCCCGCCCGCAGCTACGATTCATGTGTTTGCACCCACCCAGCCGGCCGGCCAGTGCCACCTCCGTGCCTCACGGCAGCTCCCTGCCCAGGTTTTGTGAGTGCCAGGTTAGTGCCGCCTGGCTCTCCTTGGACGCGGGGGTTGCACGTGTTCGAGGTTAGGATAGAGGCCTCCCAGGGGAGCCACAGCCGGTGCAGGAGGCAGCAGCAGATGCTGACATTTAGCCTGAAATGCATCTCCTCTGACAGATGCCGACAGCCCCTGTGTCCTCCCCGTGAGGGTCTGGCGGAGCCTTTGTCACCCTTCACCCCGGGGCCTGGGAGGCCTGCCCGGGTCCTCCTGGAAAGCAGGAGGGGGGCCGCGTCAGCTGCCTCCGGGACCTGCCGGTGCATGCCCGGGACAAGCCCTGAGCTCTGCTGCCCCGCCGCGTGGCCGCGTGCTGCCGCGGGAATGGCCTGCATGCCCTCGCGCGCGGCCCTTTTCTTCTCTTTTCAAATAAGTAAGGCACTTAATTTGTGACCTAGGGCATCCCCCTCCCCTTCAGCTGCTTGCTATTGAGTCTGTGGCTGTCTCCCTGCTCTCGGAGAGACTGCGTGTGGTGCGGGTGTGGGAATAGGGAGAGGGGTGTGTGCTGCGTGGGCACGGGTGCCAGGGTGGGCCTGCCAGGCTAGATGCTGTTTTAGTTTTTTTTTCTTTTAAGGCTTAAGATTTTACTTGGCTTTACCTTCATATTGAATTAAAAAAAAAGTGTTTTAGTTACTTTTGTCTAAATTAAACATCCACATAATTTACAGAGTGAAAAAATAGTTCTGAATCTTGTCACAAAAAAACAGCAGTTCCTGCTGTTCCCCTCGCCTCTTGCTGGTAATGAGCCACCCAAAGCAGATGGCTTAAAAAAACTACCATTTTATGATCTCGAGATTTTGTGGGTCAGGAGTCTGGTTTGTGCCGGCGAGCCTTGCATCCTGTGGCGTTAGTGAGTACTCACCTGCCTCGTATCCTGGGGGAGCGGCGGGGCCCTCCTCTTCCCTTTAGTTTCACTCCAGAGGCCTCTCCAGGATGGTGATCAGTCTTAACTCCGCGTGGGACTCAGAGCGCAAGGCAGAAACTTCCAGTCTTCCGAGAGGCTAGGCAGAGAACCGTCCCAGCACCGTGGTGTCACACTTGGCTCCCAGGTTTGAGGGAGGGGATGGGCCCCACCTCTCAGTGGGAGGGTGTCAGCTGGCTGCTCCCCTCCCATCCTCCCTGCCAGGAGCCCCACTTGAACCTTTTCTTAGCTGAGGATTTTGGTATTTACCTCGTTGATTCCAAATAATATTACTCTGTTGCCAGTTTTGTTCCCTCCACCCCCCTCACTGCTCCCAGTTTCCGGTGTTGTCTGTTGACTTGCTTTTATGGGAAATGAGAATGTAGCTCTTTGGCCCCTCTGCCTCCACGCCTGCCTTCCCCGTCATCTGAGATTTCCTCTACTTCTTTCCTGAATTGGAAGCCAGGCTTCCTGGATCCCATGTTGTCCTCTCTCTTGGGTTGATCTTTTGTTTGGATATGAGGCACAGCCCTTTTGTAGGCTCCTGAGAAAGAATGCAAGAGAGGGGAATCTTTGGAGACCCTGAATGATTGAAAGGGTCTTTCTTCTACCCTTCCTCCTGGTTGATAGTCTGGCTGGGTATAGAAGCCTAGGCCAGAAAGCATTTACTGTCAGTGTTTTGAAAGTGATCTAGCTTTCAGTGCTGCTGCTAAAAAGTTTGTTGTGATTCGGATCCCTGACTCTTTACCCCCAACATTTTTAATTTTTTTAATTTCTGGCTGTGCTGGGGCTTTGTTTCTCTGCGAGGGCTTTCTCTAGTTGCGGCAAGCGGGGGCTACTCTTCATCGCGGTGTGCGGGCCTCTCACTATCGCGGCCTCTCCTGTTGCGGAGCACAGGCTCCAGACGCGCAGGCTCAGTAGTTGTGGCTCACGGGCCTAGTTGCTCCGTGGCATGTGGGATCCTCCCAGACCAGGGCTCGAACCCGTGTCCCCTGCATTGGCAGGCAGATTCTCAACCACTGCGCCACCAGATAAGCCCCCTGGCAGGAGTTCTTTAGACCCAACCAAGTTGTCAGTTACTTGCCGCGCAGTCTTAATTTGGATGTTTGGTGGTCGTCTGGGTGGATCTTTTCAAGTCCAAAGAGATAGAGCAATAGGAGAATGAGAAAGACGGAGGGGGAGAAGCCTTGGCCTCAGCGCGCTTCTTCACGGCCAGAGAACTGCTCTCTGCCAGACCCTGCAGGCGATGTCAGCTGCCACTTAACGGGCTACTCGAATCTGCATGGCTCAGGATAAGTCCCAGCCACCCTTCAGAGGGGAGCCGTAGCCCAGTAGGCAGATCGAGATTACGGCCTTGGAGGCCCCGCATTGGGTGCCAGAAAAGATGTTGCAGGAAAGAGAGTGGGGTGCGAGAGGATGGTCACATCCCAAGTCATGTCTGAGTCCCTGGGATGGCCGCCAAGTGTGGGTTCTTGGCTTTGTGCAGGCAAGAATTCAAGAGCAAGACATAGTAAAGTGAAAGAAGGTTTATTCAGGGAGATACACACTCCATGGAGTGTGGGCCATCTTGGAAGGCAAGAGACCTCCCCCAACATTCTAATATGAAAAATTTCAAACATACAGATAAGTTGTGAGAATTTGACAGTGAATGCTCAGACACCCAGCGCTGGTTATGCAGTGAACATTTTCCTCTGCCCTACCACACTCGTGGCTCTCCACATTCCCTCGCCTTAACCACGCATCGATCCATCTCAAGTATTTGCTGCATTTCAGAGTCAGTGACAGACATCACTCACTTTACCCCTGAACACCTTAGGCTTGTTATTAACTGTTCACACTTCTTCTTTTAAAGGTAGAATTCACATGTGATGAGGGCACAGATCCCAAGAATACCATTCCCTGAGTCCTGAGCATACCCCCTGCTGGGAAGTGGAGCATTATGATCACCCCACCCGGAAGCAGCCGCTGGCTGGATTTTCTTCCTTCACAGATTAGTTTTACCTATTGTAGAATTTTGTATAAATGGTGATTCCCTGATTCTCCACATGCCACTGCTTCTCTCCTGCAGGCTCTTTTCTCTGTCCTCAGTGTTCTCATTTTCCTTAGCTTTCTCTTCGACCCTTCTTTTAAGTATTTCTATTCAGCTATTATTATTTTTGGGTTCCAAGAGTTCATGCTGGTTCTCTGAGTGTTCCTTTCTTAGTATCTTATTCTTAGGTAGTAGTTGCAATAGCTTCTCTTATTTCTCTGAGGATTTTTTTTTTTTCTTCGCGGTACACAGGCCTCTCACCGCTGTGGCCTCTCCCGCTGTGGAGCACAGGCTCTGGACGCGCAGGCTCAGTGGCCATGGCTCACGGGCCCAGCCACTCCGCGGCACGTGGGCCCAGACCGGGGCACGAACCCGCGTCTCCTGCATCGGCAGGCGGACTCTCAACCACTGTGCCACCAGGGAAGCCCTCTCTGAGGATTTTAATGATGTTTTTTTGGCAGGTGGTGTGGTTCTCCCTGTAGTCTCCATTTCTTTCACAAAGGTTTTCTGTTTTCACTGTGACCCCTCCTTTACCTGCTTACCATCGCCAGAAAGAGTTCACTCTTGCAGGGGTGGGTGGGGGGTGGTTAGGCACTTATTGAGCGTTTACTAGGTATAAGGTCTTGTGCTAAATAAGCATCCTGTCAGTGTTAATCTGTTTAATCACTACAACAACTCTTCAAAATGGGAACTGTCAGCCTGATTTGCAGAGTCAAGCAGCACAGAGAGGTTAAGTAACTTGGCCGAGGTCACCCAGCCTGAAGGACGACAGAGCAGAGTCCTAGAGGCAGTGGGAAGGTTGCACTGGGAGAGGGATGGTCGTGTCTGAGTTGGATTGGGGACTTGTGCTCTGTGGCTGCTGCCAAGACACTCGAGTCTTGGCTCTGTTCTTTCGTCCTCCTGTTACTTGGAGCAGTTATCTGACCTGGGCGTCAAGCTTCCCCTCTGTAGAAGGTACCTTGGAGGCCTCTACTCGTGGGTTTTCTTTGGAACCTGATGGGTTAATTACAACATCCCACCGAATTGCATTTGTATGCTGGGAATGATATGCGTCACAGAACAAAACATCTTTGATGAAGGTAGCAGATTGCTTATACTTTTGACCTTACAAGTAAATACAAGTTAGTTTTAATTTTAATTGTTAGCACTCCTTTTGGGGTGCAGCATCCAGAGGAAAGGAAAAGGAAATGAAAATTCTACAGAAGATTCAAGGCATAATTTCAATTTCTCTAATTTTGGTTGTTGTTAGGGACAGTAAGTCCTAAGCAGCTGCCGAGATGGCATTTGTTAAGTTCTTGAGATGAACACATGTCCTGAAAGGTCCTGTCCTCATGGCGCCGGGGAGGTCCCCTGAGAAGGGGAGCAGGGGATGGTTCCTGAGGCTGAGGGGCACCTAGCTGCCCAGACTGTCTCTCAGGGTCTCCCCTGAGACGTGAGCTCCACCTTCGTGGGTCACGTGAGATGTGGTGGGGCTCAGGCCAGCAGGCAGGATGCTGCTCCCCTGGGGGCACGTGGGTGGTGGGACTGCTGGAGGGCAGGGCACCTGTGTCTTTCATGGCAGCTTACACTCATGCACGTGCACACGAGTACGCACACTTGCTCACTAGGCCTTTGTTCATTGGTTGGAGAACGAGTACGGGGGACGAGGACAGACACTGTCCCCTGCTGCCCCCCGCCCTGTGCTGACCACCCTGCCCCACACCCACTCCTGCTTCGCGCCTCAGGCCCGTGTGCTCATCAGGGTCCCTCGACTATAATTCGTTTCCAGTTGGGGCCCCACAGGGAGCAGCCTGTCCAGGGGGACTGGTCCTGAGGTGGCCCCACTTTGGGCCCCTCCTGCTTGGTTCCTCTCCCTGGGACTTGCGTTGTTCCCACGTCCTCCTCTCTGCCTGCGTCTTGGTGCCAA